TTTTTGACAAGAAACTGATCAAAACGACTCTGTTCAACCCTTTTTAAGCCTTTGACAATAATGGAAAGAAATAATGATTTCAGGAGCACAACACTTGAGCTAACTATATGTTGACAGTAGTCATACTTTTATTTTGGCAAGTTGTTTACCACCACAACATAGCCCCAAAGGCTGGACTTCAGTCTTTTGCCTACGCAGTAAAGTAAATTCTAGCTAAAAACTAAATTGTTATGATTTCCCCCTTTTTAAGATTCGTTCTGATTGATGAAATCCTAATGCCTGATTTATTCCTGATTATTAGTAGTCCTTGGCTTTATTCAGGTCTTAATTCTTATTTTAGGTCATTATTTGGACCAGCGACGCTTGAAGCAAGGTCTTTATCGTCACCCATGGGATGATATCACTTATATTATGCCAGAAAACTGAAATAGTTTCATTTGTGCCGTTTGCGAACGTTTCTTTCAAGTACATTCGCGGAAATATTGTATATCACTTATGATTGTTATGCTATGTTTACCGTTATCTATTTTCTGTATGGATAACTCAACCCTTTGTCGTTTAACCAGTTATTACAAAATTTCGTTAGGCACTATATAGTACCTTTGTTTTGTTTGTTTATTTTTATTTTTCGTTTGTTTTGCTGTTACAAATTCTGGAGATTTTAATGGAGATCCAAGTTACACTAATCGATTAAATCTAGAAAGGTTAGATCGTGTTGCTTTGTGTACTGTGTAAATTTGAAAATAGTCATGAAGATTCACCGCAATTTTTTGTTTTGCCTTTGTTGAAAACTTGAATGGATGTGCATATTTCACAGAGTACCTTGTAGATCTGAAACCGTCGATTGGTATGGCTGCATTTTTTGTGTTAGCGACAGCTGCCAGCATTTAGGTTTTATCAGCAACTTTGTATCTGATAAGTTAATCTTTGCTAGGTGACACTGCTTGCATTAGTATTAACTGCTAGTAGTTGTTGCCATTGTCATCTCGGATATAACGGTCAAATACATAATATCTAGGTTAATTATGTCTGTCAGATTGGATAATGTTATAATTATTTCATGCTGAAATCGTGATCCTTTGGTAGTTACGTGTTGATTCTTGGACATCGGTTATATCTTGTTTAAGCGTCAGTAATTTGCGTTTTTCTTTTTTGGGTTATTATCACCTATTGGCTAACATGATTTCGATCTGGAATTCCTTAACTGCAGTTGTTTTGTAGTTCAAAAATGGTTTAGGATTGACTTTTGACTTAAGACTCTACCGATCATGGTATTGCGGTTTGTCTCCAGGAATTCAACCGGTGCTTCTTCCGTTCAGAACCGGCTAGTCTGTTCGTGCGAATTCATTTTGCGGTAAAAAATGGCGATCAGACACCTGTGTAGATTTGGGCAAATAGGTATGTTAAGTGTCTGTCGTGATCGATTTCCACACCAGGAAGCGAGAGATTCAGTTCGCTATTACTGAAGAAATGCCATGTCCATGCTGACGTCTTAGCTGTTGCCTACATGATTCCAGATTTTTTTTGTCCGCGACCGTAATATTGATAATATGTTCATTTGTAGGCCTAGAAGCACTTCGCATTATAGCAATCACGATCCCCTCTTAACCTGTTTAGAACGTTTTGTTCTCGTTTATTGAGATGCGTGTTATGTACGCAGGGGTCAGTGTCAAATTTCATATTGATTGAAATGGGTGCGAACGAATTCATTGCCTTCTAACTTAGGAGTTTAGTCAGTCCAAAATCCAATGTCGTTAAACCTACCATCGGCATCCACTCTTGCCTCATGTGAGAAGCTGTTGCTAAAACTAATCGTATCGACGAATATGCTGGTAAAGCATTTCGTCTCGGAAGCCCAGTGTACTGTCAGATAAACTTCGGTGAGGCAATGCTCTATGTTCTGTTCAAAATTTTTACCAATGTTCATGTAGCATGCTGGAGACGCTTTTGTGAGCCCCTCGCTGGAATGATCTGGGAATGCGATACCAAAAATTCTGTCTGTTTGATCGGCATTATAACGTCAGCACCTGTTGTGAATGCCAGTAGTAGTTCGTTATTGTCTACTGAGCGATTAACGATTTTCGTTCAGTTAGTGTAAGTAATTCCCAAAATATTACCATTGTTTAAAAAAATTGTATTATCAGCATGTTACCGTAATTCAGATGATGTTCCTTGAAGGAGTTAATTGAATTTTGACTAACGCTGATCTTCAATTTGCTGATCACCCAGAGGTCCTGGATTTAAGTCACGGTCTGATGACACGTCTTTATTTCTTAAGTGGTTGATAAATGAATGCCACTGTCTGGGAAAAGCAGGTGACTACTCATTGGGCTTATCACAACTGCTGCAGATTTGACTTTAAAATAAGGTGCTCCCGGCTGATGGCTTATTACTATTATGATCAGCACCCCACCATTAACTTCATAAAAAGAAAGGCACTAGAAACGGCTCATCATGAAAGTTTAAAGAAGCTCGACATTCGGTCAGTCATAAACAAAAGTTTTTACCTTCATTTGAATGATCAGCCATAGATGTTTTTTTTACTATTTCTTAAGGTAATATATATGGCTAGATGGCTGATTTTTGTTTTCCTTCACATTCGGTGGATTTATTCGTGTATCTTCGAAAGATGAGCTTATCCGGAATGGTGATCAACGTAATTTTTAAAGATTCATTTTCATTTTACTGTAGTACGTGTGTTGAACTGAAAATGACTTGTGTAAATAAATTGTAGATGAACATTCCACGTAGAAATGCTAACGCATTTGCAGCCAGTGCTTTTGAAATATGAAACTCCGATTCGACCTAAGAAGACGAAAAGAGATATTATGTTCACTTGTGTTTCTATCGTCACTGTCGATGAAATGCCACTTATGGTTCATTCGAAGAATTGCCACAACTGTAGAATGCTGATCGTTAATTTTCGTTTTATAGTACTTATAATGGTGAATCTTTTCTTCCGTTTAATTTCACGTATCACAGAACCCTTAAGGTTACTTTCACCAATTAGTAATATAGATGACAATGATCATAAAAGTTCGATTATTACTAAATATTGACGATCCAGTTACTACTTTGATAGAGATGTCTCCGTCGTCATACAAACGTGGTTCTCGTAATGGTGGAAGTTGATACTGTTCGGGCACGTACAATATGATTCATTGTGTTGTTTTCAGCTTGCACTTCTTTCAACAAGTTTCGGAGTAGCTTTGCGGCCACAACTTTCCCTGAATGAGAAGCTACTTTGCGAAGAATGAGGAATCCATCAGTTCGGAGGAACTTTGTGACCATTCTAATTTCTTCTGTTTGTTCTTCCTCCTCGCCCCGGGTGTCTCGCCCTGTAGGATCGAGTAACTTAGCCACGTATGCTGTTCGCAAATCTCTGAACGCCGCATATATTATCCAGTATATCACATGGTAGACGTTCAGCGCCGACAGCAGTGCCACCCAAATCCACAGGAAGGCGAAGATCTTTTCGTTGAATACGTTAATCATCAGCACACACTGAACTGTGTACCTAAAATAACACAATTATGTAATTGTCTTTCAGTGGTTGTATGAATATTTGTTTCGTAATTATTTGAACATTGGTCATTGAAGTGGCACGGTACTGTCTAGTTTAATATACCGCTTTATAATAAGTACGGCGTTATGAACAGCGGTAGAAAAACACTTCATCAAAATTCGACAAATCTCTTACAGATGACTACCGCATATCCAGTTTATTATATTACGCATTTTAGACGTTTTAAATTATGCTGTTCCATTTTTAGTGAGAAACATAGTGTAAAACAGATAATGTTACATCAGAAATCTTTACAGTCGGCTAGCAATTTCACTTGTTTTTATCAGAAACCTTTTCATCGGAAGTGTTTTATCAGTTCCTTCCACTACGAACTTAGTTTAGTGCCAATATACTTATTCAAGTGCTGGTTGGATTAAATTATGGTGTGTTGGCACATTTCTATAAGCGAATGTTCGTTTTGTTTCGAACATTGAAATTGTTGTTTTATTCACCAGTTCCCTTGAGCAAGGAATTTACCATACATTGCTTCAGACCGGGCTTGCTCACTCGGAGACGGTAGGTCTTGAGAGCAAGCCGCGGTCAGGGTCACTCGCCCTTCCTCCTTCCAAGATTGATAGACGAGTACCACATTGTCAGAGACTACACGCTACGCTTGCCGCATGGCTGTAGACTCTGCCTTTAAAAATAATGCTCTCCTATTTGATAGCGTAGAAACAGAGATCAGCACCGCATCTTTAACATCATGAAAGGAAGGGCACCAAGATGGCCCAATATTAAAAGTGAAGGAACACCGACATTCCAACGTTGACCAACTTTCGATTGAATTATTCTGCTTAGTTTTATCCTTCCAGCTTAGAAAGTTTCTCTTTCGGAGAATTCCTTTCATTTTGTCTTGCAATAATCACTGTTAT